CTGCTAAATAACAGGCGGAAATTCATTATACAAACTTCATTTTACAGTAAAATAGTTTTAATGTTGTTCACCGAAATAAAGATGATTTCAAAGGCAAAGCGTAACGTGTGTGTGTCGAAACTTTATAGATTTAAAACATAAGTTCTACCATATTTATTTTTTCACATCGATATTTGATATTCTTTTTTTTTATAGTTTTATATAAAATACAAAATACAGAACGATCGAAAATTAGATGAAAAAATGTTCAATATAAATTTAAACAGTAAATCGTATTTATTCAAGTTCCCCATTAACGAAACGAATTGATAAACAGCTCGACTTATGTTTAAGTAAGGTCTAGGATTAAAAGTGTAATTAGATACATTTTATATACCTTAAAGGTAAACATAAATTCATCGATTCGTTCATATAAAAATATTTAACAATCGTGATAATTTATTTTGACGAATGAGATGTTTTAAATTTAATAAAATATTATCATTTTTGTATTTTAATTACATGTTTAAAAAATATCAAATTTTCTGTCAAAAAACTTTCGAGAAAAAAATAAAAACTACTACAGAATACAGTTTTTATGCGTTTAATAAATTACACTATGACAATTTCCAGTGTGATATATATATTTATGTATATGGTAACTATTAGCACTTTATAATCGGAATGAAAAATAACATAAAATATAAATTCTTGACATTTTAATATACCTAATAGAAATATTCATAATGTATGCATTAAAGCTTATATATTAATCATAAAAACGTATATTCATTTATAACAAATGTAATTATAATAATGTAATCAGTGACAGTTTGAAAATGAAAAACACTTGCATGTACATGTGTTCATATACTTAATACTGTTTTATTACGCGATTCGCTTAAGCTGGAATTATTTGAAATTAAAATATTCAGTACGAAATATGTATATATTACACGTTTATGATGTTCAACGTCAATTTTCGATTAGATAACGGTACTTCGTCAATTTACAATTTATACGGATGGACGAAACGGCCATTATAATGACCTACACGAAGTCCAAAGTGTTATACTGCACTTAACCGTTTATACGTAAATAGTTAAATTTAACGAGTAAACGCTTTAAGAGGGACAAAAATGTCATAAATTATACTTTGCCATCAAAACGTCTAGTGACTTAAGCCCACTCGATTTTCGTTCTCGAACTAGCGCGCACGGATGTGTTTATACGAGCGTGTGTGTGTGTGTGTGTGTGTTGATGATAAAATACAACAACAACGCGTCGATACAGTACAACACGACGGCAAAATGAATAAATAAACTCATGCATGTTGCAAACACGCGCGTAACCCGGTACACGTTGTAATGTAATAATTATCGTAGAAAAAAGGGGGAAAAATGAGGGGGAGGTGGAGGCGAGTTACGTATATTATAATAGTTCTTAGACGAAGGGGCACCACTTACCGCCGGCGCATGTACAATATTTACGTATTACGTTAATACATAATACACACCGTGCGTTGTATAATATACACTAATTTTGTCACGCATTTTCGCTGTACGCGCAATACGTAGAAATATACATGGAGTGTATACATGGTGTGCACGGGGAAAACGGCGCAGAGGGAAAACTCATTAGTACTGGCAGCGGTCTATGCGAAGTCGCGGCAGCGCAGGGACGACGGCGGAGGAATACGTACGCATAGATGTATAATATTAACAATATAACACGATTATTATTATTATTATACGTTTGCGTGAAACACGCGCACGGCAAGGGTGGCGGGTGGCCAACAACCCTGTATACATGTATCTCGAAACAACATTAGTGTGTGTGTGTGTGTGTGTGTGTGTATCTACGTCATCGGACGAAGGGAGTTTTTAAGTATATTTATACATATATACCGTTATAATAATAATAATAATATGACTACGGAAAATCTCACTATTACAATATATGCGCGTACAACACATATATATAAACACAAACATAGAAAGAGAGGTGGTATAAAACAGAAACAGAAGGGACGTGCGTGCTAGCAACAAAAAAAAAAAAAAAAACTAAACCCATCCCCTTACACGCGCGCGTGAAAACCACGAAAAATAACAAATCACGAGATTATTGTCTCTCTCTCCCATTCCTCTTACCTATACGGTTAAAGTTACCCTCACCGACATTTTTTACTTTAGGTAAAACACACACACACACACGTATTTACGAGTATCTACACATAGTCGAATACGGCGAAACCGATTCGTGCAGTTAAGCTTACTTACTACACTGTTCAACATACATTGAAACTTCAAATCGCAATTGAATTTTCCGAATGAGATTTGCAAGAATCGAAACGTATTTTATACGTACACTTTACTTCAAAGGTATGCTCGAAAGTGATACATTACAGCCCGAGAACAGAATATAGGGTCGTCCAAATTTAATTTTAAAATGTTTGTCTTACCTATACCCTATAGTAAGTTCGTTCGGAAAGTTTATATACCTACTAATATTTTTTTACCATGGTAACTACAACAAGTAACTGAAACTCATCGTTAAAATAAATTGATTTAATTCATAAATAAAAGTTATTCTTCAACAATTTTCTCCACACTCTGTCTACATTTTAAGACTAACCCTAGGTGTTAATATATGAGCTAATAAAAGTCGTCCGTAAATCCATTTTGTGCGTTAGTTACATTTTTCTGACCAAACATTTTTTTCTGTAAAAAGTATTAGTAATAATGCTACGATTATATTATATTTATATATAATGTACCTACGCGAAACAGAATATTTTTCAACTCCATTAATGAATTTTTTTTGTCGACAATAATTTTAAAACCTAAATAGATACCTATGTATGGTACAACTATGTAGTATAATATTGGCGTCTATATATATATATATATATATTTAAAAGATTTTCGTGAGCCCTTAAACAGAAAACTCAGCAGCTGTAAAATGTTTAATGTACGTAGACGCATATATATATATATATATATATAAATATGTTAATGTATTATAAGCGTATGTCGTACAACACCCCTACAATGTGAAAATACTGACAATCATCGACGCGACGTGCTGAAAAGAAAAATCGCGCAGTCGTGGCGGTTTTACGAAATCGTGACCGCGCCTAAAAACAATTGCTATACACTTGTAGTACGCATTTTTCGGAAGGACATGCGTCGTAGATGGCATGTATATATATTTATAAGTGTGCAGAGTACACGCGTGTACATAGAAGTATACAAAGAGTTGTTATATAATATAAATAGTAGTTGGCCGATGTCCGTCGGTCCGGCCGTGTAGTCTAAGAACCAGGAGGCTTGAGTCAGCTTGAAGGGTTCACACAATTATAACACATTTACGTCAAGGATAAAATACTAAAAAATGCAATAGATATTGTTTTATTCATTTATTTTTTTAAAAACGTTTTTGTGTTTTTGAAATATGTGTATAACGTTTTGTTGTAGTTTATATTTTTTAACGATCGCTCGAAAATTACACTCTTATACGCGTTGCATATAGAAATACATGTACAAGGACAGCAGCGCTTCTTCGCCACTTGTCAATAAAATATGAAAACATGACGTGAGAGTGCACGACGAAAGACATAATACAATAATACAAGGCATGGCATAAAAATAAACTACCATGTAAGCAAAATAGCTATCGTATGTATAGGATATATAGAAATATAAATATATAGGGACAATGGATATTATTTGATGCATACATATATTGCGTATTAAAGTGTACGAGAACCTATTGTGGTCAAATCTCCGGTCATAGCGCGACGATCTACTGCGTATATCGATATAAATCAGTAACAGTAACAAATATTAAATCATTAATAAAGATTAAATGTTCTTATAATTATTTAAAGCATATGGAAAAAATAAAACGTCGTAGAATCATACCTACACTTATTAATTGTCTTACAATAATAAAGTTGGAACCGTTTGATTAGTAACTAGCTGCTAATAATTATCTTTCGTAAACGTGGTCGATGTGTGTAGTATATTACATTCGAATATTTCTGTATAAAGTCAATTCAATACCGATATTGAAATTCCATTGACACTATGAAAGCATCCGTATATAGATTTTATATTTCCATATAATAAATATAAATAATATAAGTTTAATTTTTTTTTTTAACGAGTGTCGGTACGTTTTTACTGCATGAGGCCAAGATGAATGTGATTCGATGGAATCGCTATGTTCTGGATTCCGGACACTACGTATATGTGATGATGAATTTCCAATAAAAACGGTTTTCGGTTTTTTACATAATATTCCGTACGAAATATAATTGTTCAACGTATTAGCGAAACTGCGGCGATAATCTATTACTTAAAAAGGGTAGGTATTCAATTATAACGAATAGCCGTACGGTTTTTATATGCGTAACAATTGAGAACCGAATTTAGTAGAGGATTTTATGTAAGTATTATATGTTTAATTATACAAGTCTAACTTACACGGAGCAGGTGCCCAACGATAATATATTACTGCACTGTATTTATACGTGTAATAATTGTAAACTTAGTTGAGTGAGAAGTTTCATGTTTATGTACATGTGCAGTTGTTATCCTATTGTTGTTACCGTTCTAAGCAAAGTAAAAATGAAAAAAAAACACACACACACACACGCTATACCGATACACGTGTATCATATAATTCTGCAATAACGAAAGCGAAAAATAAAAACAACAACAACAGAAATAATTGATAACCACACACGATAGGTTTATAAGTGCCGAATGATTGCCGAGGGTCGTTATACGTTTAATATTAATAACGTAACACTGACAGACCGCAGGCAATGTTTAACCTCGCGGGTACGTGCGCATTACACCCGCTATATGTTCACACACGTACTTTTCTATCTTTCATACGTATGTTTCGTGGTCAAATGTATAAATATTTTATAGCCCAGTGTAACGCGCGTGCCCGTCACTGAATCGTATTTTACGCGCGTACCCATTCTCGTTAACCAGCGTGTTTTCTTACGTTTTTTTTTTTTTTTTTTTGGTATGTTTATTGTTTTTATTATTATTATTATGTTCGTCGATATAATTTCCGTCAAACGCGGCGTACGAAAATATTACGGTTAATAAAATATGAACGAGTTGCGAGTTGTGTTTGTTCCCGTTGTCCGCGATCGCCGCGTGCCGGAAAACGCGTGGAAAAATCGCGCGGCACTTTCCGCAGCGAAATGACTGCGGTAGAACGCGCGCTACTCGCGGTCGTCGTTTTCGCCGCGGCGGCATCGACTTTAATGTCGTGTGCAGACACTTCGGCGAGTACGTATTAGACGATGATAATAATAATAACAATAATAATAATAATAACGATAACAAAAATAATAATAGTTTTATTAGTAGTAATAGTTATACTTGTATACATCCTTCCTTTTCGCCTTAAAGATTCGCCGTGTATCGCGTTCTCCGATAAACATTAGATTTTTTTTTCCATTCGAGTTCGTCCCGTACGTTCAAAGTTTTGTCATTTCAACTTTCGCCCGACCTCCTTTCCGAACGCAAAGTCGTTGAACTCACGGGGTACCGCGGTTCTCCGTGCAATCCCTTTGTAGTACGAAACTCGTCGTTTTCGGGACGGAAAAATCCTCTCGAAACGTCCGAACATCGGTTTCCGAAAAGATCCGTCGAAATTAATTTTTCCCTCGCTTTATATGCGCGCGCGTTTACGTCCAGTTATGCGCGGGACCGTGCAGCGCGTAACACGGACATGGGTTTTTTTTGTTGTTATTTTCAACCGTTAACAGGGATTTTGGGACGGCACTATTCGAACATTTGGCGCCATCAGAAGAGGCAAACGACCGGTGGCAGCGGATGGCGCGACCTCGACTACGGCAACTTGACGGACGCGATCCGTGACATCATCGTGGCCATGGCGGTCGACTGCAGCACACTAGCCGTACATTCAGGTGTCGAATCTACGATTATTCACGTACCCGTGAAATCTTGCCTACATTACGCTGTACACGATACGAACGCACTCCAATGCAAATTAATACAGCATGAATTATAAATAATTAATTACACTGCACAGAATGATTTTCGTTACAAATTTTGTTTTAATCTTTCATTCATCACACGGTGATTGCAATCCTGCACGATCTAATTACATTGCATAGAAATGGTTATCGATGTAAATATGCATATTAATCGTTTTAAATCGTTATCTAGTTTTTGATTTTTAAACGACGAACTGCGAAAAAATAAAATTTAAGAATCTGTAAATCTACTTTTATGTATAATTTTTAACTTTTCATTTATCTACTGGCACAACGTAAATCCTTAAAGATTGGGTTCATTCAAGAAACACTATGTACTAGGTTCCTAAATTGTTCATTAGTGGTTAATCGTTTTATTATGAATTTATTTTTCACTTGTTTGATTTGTCGGATTCGACACATTATATCCTATATCTATACCTACGCTTGTCTTGGTGTTGCACCTCAAAAATAAAATCAACCTCTGTATTTATAAATACATGCATAATTTAATAAAAAAATCTTATTATTCCGTATAATATTTTTGCATTAAATATTCTATATATATATATATATATATGTATTATACTCGTGTCACTGTCTCCTCGACCTACATACATATTACAATATTACACGTGTGGAACAATATTTTAGCCAAAGACGATATTTTAAATTTCCTCACAACACGATACACACGACATGCGTTTTTTATGCTAATAATATCATGTGTATACCTACAGTATAAAAATTTCAATTTTTGCCGTTGATGCCTTCAAAGGATAACACACGCAATAATTGTAAAGCTATTTAATCTATCAACGGCATAGTATTATTCATATAAGCTGTCAGAATTTTTCACTTTCCAACATAACCACCTATTAGGTATACATACATATATATATATATATATTATACAGGCATATGTACGTTTTCTAGATGCAAAGTTATAAATAATTAATTTGTATTTCGTGAATAAATTTAAGTTATAGCTGTATAGGTAATTGCATAATATTTTATAATACATGGTATATGTATTGTGTATTTATACATTAAATTTATTCATAAAGATGCTGCTGCAGATTTCCTAAGTAATACAATTAAGTCACTACACGGAAGGGGTGTGACAACGACTCACCACGCATTATTAACAGTGGATCACGTACAATTGGTAACATATTACGCATATATTATAATATTATATTATTGTTATTGATCAACGGAAACCGTAGATATAATCATGCGTTGTTTATATTTAAATCACACTAGATTTCTGAACACCCCTTTTTACGGTTTATTTTCTTTTATATTTTATTTCGCTTATTTGTTTGTTGTATACTAACATGTAGCTATGTTTAATGGCGTACCAAAAAATTTTAAATTGGGATGAGGGGGGGGGTTAAAAAAAAAGGAAGTCGTATTACGATAGGGCCCTAATAAATAATAAGCAAAAAAAAGTCTTATATTTAATTTATAATTATATATATCAAAAAAAAAAAAAAAAAAATTGTTACACTTATGATTATACGCTACAAAGTTATATTATAATAGTATAATGATTTAAAAAAAAAAAAAAGTCCAACTTAAATATGCTTATTATAATATTATATATAGTATTGAAATTAAACTGTAAAAACATTAATTTTACTTTCGTGGAATTTAGTCTAACATGTAAGCTTACGAGTATATTATTAGACTGATAATTTGTTCTTTGCTTAGTTCATTTGAATATTTAATTCCAACTTCATTAAAACATGTCTATAACAAATAATAAGAAATGGGTTAAAAAATAATATTGGTATAATAATAATCAACAAAAATATACCATAGTTATATTACTGATTATATAAAAATACCATTTTAATGTTTTCATATAATTTGTAGTATACAGAATATACTCATAGCATACTCACTAAATTTAATACTTATAGAAATATATTTAACTTACATAATTTATTGAATCTGAATTTGATGTAGTAGTACTAGAGGTAGAATTATCATTTTATAAATTACGAAATTGTTGTTTTACAAGTATTTATAAGAATAAAAAAAAATTTTTTTATTAGTTACCTACCAAAAAAATTTTTTTTTTAATTCAAATTAAATTTATACTTCTTGAGGGTTCTCTTAATCTTCAGAAGTTTTCATAGATTTAGGTTCCACTTTGAAATAACCTAAAAGTATTGTTTTTCAATTCCATTAATTTTCGCTAATATGGTTATAAATGTATAATATATACCTAATTAATAGTTAAAGAGGTACGATGAAGTTCAAGCAATAAATTTGCACTAAATAGAAAATACAACTTTGTGATAATGATATGATATCAGTGTGATATAAAATACAATGATATGAAATTTGAAACCACAGTAGATTATAGTAGTATATCATAGTAGTATATAATTTACCAACTGCTGTGGTTGAAACAGTTACCTAATATTCTGTATGGACATAAACAGCTAATAACCACACTGTCATAATGTCACACTTACACAGTACGTTGACGGTCGCTTTGTAGCAAGAGCGTGAATGCAATTTAATAAATAATAACTTTTATGAATGATAACGTTAATAATGTATCAAACTATCAAATATTATAAATATTATTTATAATAAAATTGTCTTGTTCCAGCGGGGGAAAGGGTTTAACTCCTATAATCCCCCTCTTGGGTACGCCACTAGCTTTTATAGTAATATATATATATATATAATTAAAATTCTAATTACTGATCACATTTTGTACAAAGTGATCGTCATATATATAGTGGTTATTTTAAATCTCTAATATACAATAAAAAATAATTTTTAGAAAATCAGATTTTAAGGGTCGAAATAGTTTAAGCTGAATGTATCATTTTTACATTTTGACCACATAAAAAATATTAAACTTAATATAATGTTTTTTTTTTATAATTACCGATTGAGGTTTATGCAAATTTACATACTAAAAATAAATAAAAATAATTATCACTAGAATATATGATGATTGTGCGTTTTTTCAATCTATATTTTTTTTACGTCGAAATAGTATTAGTTTTAATCTAAAATAATAAAATATCTTGTGGATTAATCCACGTAATTCAGCCAGTATAATATAGGTCATATAAGCTTCAGGATTCGATTTGTCGAATAATTTTTATAAATATCGACACAAAAATACGTTTCCTAGTTTTGTAAAATTGTATGTACTTATAGATTATTTTATACTATTTAGCTAAAAACATTATACATGTGCAAATATACACCGTCGTTGAATGCATTTTTATTAGAATTTATTTCATATTATTAAAGGTAAAACGAATATTTTCAAAAGTAATTATTTATATGGTAAGATGGTAATTTTTATAAAACAACCCGATGTATCTAAAAATGTATCGAGAATTATTTTCTCTAGTTATCTGATAAATAAATAGATACGAATTGCGTGTATTCACATTTAAATCGCATATTAGCATAAACATTTTTCGCGTTAAAAAAACGATTTGCTAACTGTCAAGAAATAACTTCAGATATGAATTAACTCGTTTAATTTAGCGGATGATATAGACAGAATTGACACCTCACCAAATTATTAGTTTCGAAAGTTTTATAACTATTGATAATAGACGCGTACACGAAAGATAATTCGCGTATAAAAAAGCCTCGGTAATTCTGAACTCAATATATTTATGGATGAAGCGAATTTATATTTAGCACACCCTTTATTTGATGTTATCAAGTTTTTAAAGAGTCGTTTGAATAACTTTTAATGATTTTTCCGTTTGTTGAACTTCGAACCAACCAAATTCTACTTCATATAATAAGTACGAGCAACTGGCGACCCGCGTACTTTTTTTACCTGGCCCGTGCTACATTGCAAAATAAATCACTTCATTACAATTTAGCGGCTATCAGTATCTAATTTTTTGTATGTTGAGATATAATATATGGATATTACATTTTTCTCTAGCATTGAACTCCAACTAAAACATTAAACGTCTAATTTTAATTTATATCCATCGGCATAGCTAACTTTGCTTTAGGTTTTAAGCACTTGTTTTATTGTATGGTTGAGTCATAAAGTTAAATTAATTGAAACGGTAATTGTAAATTGTATTGACTTTTTTTTCATTTTTGCTTTTTTTAATTTGTCCCGCTAAATTTTAACATTCTAAAAATTGTAAAATTGGCCCTCTGGTTACTTTGAGTCACTTAACCCAGTCATATAATATCCTATGGTTTTGACGCACAGTACTTGAGTTAATCATTTTCACGGTAACCGCAACGCATATATATATATATATATATAGTGTATATCACCGGTGCTGCGGTACATTGTACATATACTGCAATGATAGTTTAATCAACTAATGTATTGTCGTTTCGAAACGAAGCTTTTAGACGACATCCGGGACGCGGTGAAAACGGGAAAACGAAAGTCTTACGTAGTGTTTTCGACGTCGGAACTGATGGAGAGCATACTGAGCACCGTAATGTATACAGCGCATTTGCGTGAAATCGTATTACTCTTTTTTTCTTTTTTTTTTTCTTTTTTCTCCGGATACAACGTCGCGTTTGTTTTTCACACCACAGATCCGGAAGAACAGCCTCATGTCTCGGGACGTGGTTTACGTGTTCCTGTGGCTCCGGTCGACTGTCAGCCGAACGTTCAAGTCCGACATATCCGAGGCGATGCGCGTGTGCGTCATCACCAGTCCCAGGCCGGGATTGTGAGTGCATGTACTCTCATCAATAATAATGACAATAATAATAACAATATCGCTGTTGTTACACACTGGTGTCCCTGCCACCCTAAGCCCGCGTCGGCTTCCGCCGAGCCACCCCTACACCGGCGTCCGTCCGCCCACGGCCCCCGCGCTAACGGGCCGCGCGCCATCGATGAGAAAAACATCAGCGACACGGCATGTTCCCAAGACGCACATTATCTAATGGATGGCGGTGCGGAGAGCAGTTGCGATCAAATTGAAAAATAAATTTAGGGATCTCGCGTCCCCTGCAGCCCTTCACCCGCGCGGTCCGCCGGACCATCCCGAACACGTCGTATAAATATAATATTAATTCAATTGGACCGCATTAGCGGGAAATCGACGTGTTGGTTTTTTTCCTTCTCCCCCGTACGACTTCCGTGCAATATATTATGTATCCGACACGGTACACGCATGCCGCCGTCGCACCGCTGATCCACAGGTTTCCGATACGTTTTGCGCGAGCACGCCTAACCTAACCCACAGCGGCGCGCGGAACATCGCAGACGCACAAACGTCTCGTCGGACCGCTTACCGTTGCCGGGCAGGAGTAGTGCTCCGAATTACTCCGGAGTGCTGAACCGTTAGCGGTAACGTACTCGTGTGCGTTTTCCGAACTGATTAAAACGATTTCGCTAAACCTTGCCGATAACATTACGGCCCGTGAAGGATACTGTTCTGGTTTATACGCAAACCTATAATAGAAATGTTATTTGATCCTGTCGTAGATTATTATAACGCGGATATTTCAGCGCAGAACATTCCAGAAACTTTTCAAAAACAACGTAACTACTATGCGATCCGATAACAATGATTCCAAAGTTAAACTCGAAACAAATAATTTACAATTAGGCCCGGATTTATATGCTCTGAAAATCTCAGAAATATGCACTATAAAATATGCATTTATGCTCTTATTTTGTAGGAATATACCCTATAAAATAAAAAAATGTAAACAATAAAAATACATATATTGAAAAATACAACCCTATACAAAATATGCAAAAAAAAATCGATTAAAAAATGTCTTTTATTTTCATTTTTTTTTATGTTTACAAAAAATTCATATGATACATGTTTTTTAGTTATTTTAACATACTGTAATTTAAATTCAAATTTTTGATTAAATAAATTATGAGACTAAACGAAAATAAATGCATACCAAAAGCATTCGAATTGCATGGTACATTTGATTTTACGTTACATTTTAAACAGAACAAGGCTAAGTCATCCGTAGAAAAAATACTTTTACATTCGACAACAAATTTGTGTAGCTAACTAGACGTAGTTGCACTGACTTTTGGCATTTTAAATATAAATAAATTTAAATCAAATGTAAATTAGGCGCATTCGGATTACGATAAATACGAAGAAACAAACACGACTTATGTATGATTCGTGAAAACCTATTAAATAACAGATAACTTGACCCGTTAGGTCTCAGTTAAGATATGAATACGACTTCGTTAAGTTACAGGAACTATAAATATAATTATAAATACGTTATTTTAATTAATATACGCAAAATAATACATATTATACATTTAAAAACCGTATATATGCAATAAAAAATCGTAAAATACAAAAATATGCCGTACATATAAAAAAAAAAAAATGACAAAATATGCAAAAATATGCAAAATAAGACTTTGCATTTCGGATGTATTCACTATAATTCAAACTCGTAGCTTACCTAGTTATTTTTCGGACTGTTTAGAAAAAACATGGAAATGCATATAAATCCGGGCCTTGTTCATAATGCACGTTGTATAAATCCAGGCAATATATTAAACGAAACGTATTGACTAGCGTTATGAGCTGGAAAATATAATCCGATTTTCCGAGTATTTCAGGACTTCTAAGAACGTTATTAATAGTTTTGAGAGTAAGCAAAGAATGTGGATAAGTTGCCTCCAACAACAATGTACACCGTGTCTCTATAATATTGATTTTATGTCCCGTCGTATATTTATAAAAATAAATTCGTTTTGACCTATTAGCTGAATAGATACGTATACAGTATTTCATTAGATAAGACGGTAACCGATCTTACGAGTGAACAGCTTTGGGACAGAAAATTAAATTTAAAACAAATCCCCGCCGGCCGTACGAAAAATGACGCGCTCGGTCAGTGTGGTTTATAGCGGTTTGTTCTATCGTAAAGCAAGTGTTCGAACGTTTGTTTCGGCCAACCCGTCCCGTGTGACGAGCAGTGCTCAGCCCACCCGCCGACACCGCAGAGTAAAAATACCCCGGCCACGGCCACGGCCGCCGTTGTCTCGGACGTTCCGTTTAATGTTTGTTTACCATTGTCGTGAAACGCGCTAAAAACGACGCGAATAAAACTCTGCGATTTGCGTTGCAGCTACCAGATTTATTACAGCCAGGCCACGGCTAACGTCAGACACGGATCGGAACTGAAAATGGTCAATTGGTGGTCGGCCGTAGACGGATTGGTCAGGTTCCCGCTGCTGCCGCCACCCGAACGGGTGTACACGAATTTCGAAGGCAGACGTTTCGTTGTTCCCGTTCTACACGTACGCATTGAAAAGAAACCAAGACGAGCAGCGAACGTAAATCACGTCGAACCTTGTCCGGTCATAAATCCGCGAGAACAGTAATAAAGCGCCCCCACGCCGTAACAACAGTCCCCATAAAAATGTTTATGTATTCAAATCAATCTCGTACTTACGCTGTACCTGTATAATATAAACAGTTATTAACATGATAAAAATATTTGTTTTGGCAATATATATATATACGAGTATACAACGACTGACTTGCACTAAGCAGCAACAAAATTTGAATAGGTTTCGTCTAAAAAAGTCATATACAGATCATATTCAGAGCGACTTGAAATCTTATTTAGTAGGATAATATATAATGATCTAGCGGATTGATATTATTCGGATAATAATGATTTAAATGTGTTTTACATTCATTTAATTTCGAATGTTTTAAATTCAACGAGTGACTGTTAAAACTCGAAATCGTCAACTTACGAGGTTTTAACTAATAATTTAGAAATGCATTTGGTATTTAAATATTAAAAGATTAGCGCACACGATTGATCATCAGCAAGTATTATAAACTTATTAATAAATTTAATTGAAAACATATTTCATTGCATACAGTAATAGATTATGTTAAATTATAAAATGTTATATATTTCAATTTAAATGTAAATTGTTATGGTTTTTTTCGCACGTGAAATTATTATATAATTCAAAAATATTCGCACACCCTCGTCGTCACTACTTATCCTTGTATATTTAACTTCTTTTACACGTTATTTCTTTCTTCTAGAAGCCACCGTGGATGTTCGTCGAGTATTTAAACGACAGTTTCCGAGTGGACGGTGGACGAGACGATAAACTCATAAATTTGTTGGCCGATAAGCTAAATTTTCGGTACGCAATACTTCTATTTTGTCGGTTATTCGATACAAATAGTGAAAATAATTTCTGTTGTAATATTATGCGAGAGCTGTTCGTCTATAAAAATATATAATTATACACACAGATTCACTTACGTAGATCCACCCGATCGCACTCAAGGTTCGGGACTGGATCGCGGGTCGTCCATGCAAGGAGTGTTGGGTTTAATCGGACAAAGGGTACGTAAAACGAATATATTATATGTATTTATTTTAATTGCAGCTGAGACAATTGAATTGTATAATTATCCCTTAGGATCGGATAGATAAAATAATTTATATAATTTGACGTTGAAAAACATATGTTCAATTTTCTTTAATAGCTAACCGTTTAAAAGTGCCAAGGTTTGTTGTATTTTATACCGTTTTTCCCACGCGTTACGTTACGGCCACGTAACATCTTATACATTACGTCTAATAACACGTTACACGAATTTAATTCTATTAAAATAATACGAGGCTGAATGGAAATCGGACTTTTAAAAATATTAATTTCTCGTTTTGAACGCGATATTCCTCCCCCCCATCCCCCGCGCTTCGTTCTTGGAAAAAAACGTTTTCATGCGCTATTATTTTGGTAATAAAACGTAGCGTACGAATAAACGTTTTGATATATAAGTTATTATATATATAAGAGAACGGCGGTAAGACACTGCCGTTCTCTTATACGAACCCGGTGCGGACCTGTGCGAGGTACAACAAACTTGGGCGATGTGTGACGGTGCGCATTCGTCAAAAATAACGTAATATGTTACATAACCGTATCGATCCGACAAACCAAAGGAGGCAGATTGGTTCGTCGGAGATTTGTCCATCACGTACGAACGCAACTTGGTGGTAGACTTCTCGTTCCTCACGCTGGTCGACAACGAAGCGTTCCTGACACACGCGCCCGGACGTTTGAACGAAGCATTTTCGCTCATCAGACCGTTTCATTGGTCGGTAAGTCACGCGCGCGAAAACAAAAAACAAAAAAAAAAAAAAACACGTCATACTTGCGCGGGTACACAGATCGTAATCGATTACCGTCGATCGTATTTTCAGGTTTGGCCGCTGCTGTTGATCACGGTGGTTTTCGCCGGTCCAATACTGTACATACTGATCGATTCGACCGACGGTCATCCCCAAGGGAAATCTTTGCTGTACTGGAAATGCGTGTGGTGGTCTGTCACGGTTTTCCTACAACAGGGTGATAATCATTTCACTACGTATATAGAATAGATTATGAAATAAATTTTAACGTTTTATTTTTATCGTACTTAAAATAATATGTACTTGCGTTTGCGTTTGCGTTACGATTTAAGTGTGTTTCTTATACAGTCTAAACAGTATATGCTCTGGAATTATCGGTTTAAACCTTTTATGAATCCGCGATACCTCTTATTTCCTCTTTTTTTTTTTTTTTTTTTTTTGTCAGATGACTCGTTCAAAAATGTTTATTGAAATATTAGATTTTACTCTTAAGCACCTATATTATGTAGATGCGTTTAACATGGGACAGCGAAAATTGACATCGAATCAATAAGGCTGCGTGTACCATGTCAACTGACGGGCACGTCAAATTTGTCAATATTTACCGAACAGGTGATACAGAGATGTAAAATATTGAGAAGCGCTGCTCAATAGCCTATGCAGTTGAACAATCTTCATGAAAAAATGTCCACGCACATTCGGTGGTCGAGCTGTTATATGAGTTAAATTTTTATACAACACATCACATTGTATTTTTCTACCGATGTCCCTGACTGTTAATGAAACGCATTCATGCGGTAGGAAGAAATATTATTTCACCTTCCATTTCACCGATGACTATTGTTCGTGCAAGAGAAACATATGTAATGTAACGTAACAAATGCCTAGTACCGTGAACATGTAATATATCGTACATAAATACTAAATTTTGGTCATAATTATAGCTTGATTTTATAAATTTAAATACGTTTCAATCAAACTTCAGAAGTGGATGACTCACCGTCATACTAATCCAACGGTATTTCGATTGTTGAATACTTACTTTTACCGTCAACTGTAATTCCCTCGACGTATGATCTGTGCAAATCACGTCGGTCGAACATCGATTCGATTTCACCAAAACCTTACACGCTGCCCAACATTATTTACTGCATTGCAGCAATGTGTTATGTACATTGATGATACGTTCTAAATCATATTTTCCGCCGCTTGGTAGGAAATTGATTTTTGCAAACACGCTGTATACAAGTACTCGTTGCAGTGTCAACACTATCATATAACTAGCGTGTTACACACGATTGTTCCGATTTAATGCACAGTGTTTGTTCAAAGTTCGAAACTCTATACATTATTAAACACAATACCTACAGAGTATATTTACATTATATATATATATATATATATAAGTATGTATACATATCGGAATACAACCCATATTTCGTACGATTTCCAATACTTGTGTGCACATTCGATATAATAATATAATAATATACGGATGTGGGGCATGCCGTCCGTTTCAGTTAGACAATAAAAGCGCAAAATCCTGAGAAACCAGTCAAAGTGATAATGTAGCTGTCACAAAATCAGATATCGGTTGAATCTATTTCGACGTTCTGTTGTCAGTTGTCCCCTAGCCCGTTGTTGACCGATGTAAACATGCGCACGAGTACATTAAATGCGAAAGTAATAAAAATGGAAAGTGCGAAATCGGAACAAAACGCGATACACAATGGCACATTAATACCTACTTCGTAATGTGTGTGTGTTTACATTTAAGCATACAAATTACTTTACGCATTCTTGATTTGCAGTTTTCATTTTTCGAGCATTTATCTGACCTGACAAGTTAAACCAACAATATTTGTGTTCATCAGCAAAGCTAATTCTGATGTGCCCGTATGCTTTTATGTATATATATAATACATATTACTAAAACGTCATATGAGAACATTTTTGGAATTTAATAAAGAGCGTGGAACTTATAATAATAAGACAAATATATTTTAGCCATGATTCTGTGACTTCAATGTAAATTAATCCGCATTAATATGATCGAAAAAAATATTCCATAAATTACATTATTTTTACATTTTTCCCAAATAGTGTGTGTATTATAGTATAAAGTCTACTAAACCCCTCCCTCGCTGGCTTATTCAATATCACTGATAATTTATTTTAGAAAACATTGAAATATACCCTTTGTTATTTTTAATACAAACGCCTGTAGGTGGTCCATTGTTGATGTTGTATAACGTCAAATTTGTATGATTTAAAAACAAATAGACATGGAAAAATGTTCAAAATCTATTAGAGAAATACGTCCTGAAATGTAAAAGTTTGAAATCTGAAAGTGACATATTAACATACAATATTGTTATACTCGTACGTACTAAAAGAGTTTCCAGCGAGTTACACTATTATTCGGTCGTATTATTGTTCATTCAAAAAGCCCGTGGTACAGCTAAAATTAAACAATTTTATTGATTTTTAAAATAATTTAAAAAAACCATACAGGTTAGGTTTATATATATTAAAATATGTGATTGTTAAAATCATTGTCGGTTTTTTATTCATTTTATTGGCTATTTTTTCTTGATTTGATATTTATATTGATATTTATAATGATAAGTTTTTGCACAAAAAATTTGTGCTAATGGTAAATGTGCATTGCTTAAAGGTTTATATCGTGTTAAACGATTAATTTTTATATTATTCTAAGATAGTACTTGTGGGCACCTATATGTTGTTTACTTATACCTTTTGTCCCATAAATATTGATTACTTATTATTCCAATGCGTAGCTGCGATTATTCCATCGGACAACAATAAGATCCGATTTGTGGCCGGCTTATTAATGTTAACGGCTACGTATGTGATCGGCGACATGTATTCAGCTAGTCTCACGTCAATATTAGCAAGACCACCAAAAGGTAATCATTTTCAAGCCAATTACTGTTACTTTAATGTCGGTAAAATTATTTTATCAGATGGTGTTTATTGAACGTGAATAGTTGTAGTACAATTTTTGGTGACCACTATAGTTGTTATAGTATCTATAAATAATATTGTTTCCGATTTATAATCAACAGAGCCTCCCATCAATACTCTAGACGAACTGTCCAAAGCTATGCGTGACTCCGGCTTACAGTTATTGGTTGAAGTCCAAAGTGCTTCGCAAGCAATGTTAGAAGTAAGTCAACATTATTTGTTTTGAACGATTTACACGATATATTAAAATATAATTTACGTTGTACACGACTAGGTTAAAAATTATTATACGACGCAGTTTAGCGTTTCATTTGCGTATATATTCCTTAAACCCATTTAAAATATTTAGAACGGTACTGGAGTTTACGAAGAACTATCAATGCTCGTTTCTCATCAGCAAGAGTACCTCATAGGGTCTACCGAAAAAGGAATGCAATTAGTCAGGGACAACAAGAACTATGCAGTCATCGGTGGCCGAGAGACATTTTACTACGATATCAAACGATTTGGTAATACGTTATAAATAAAAATAAAAATAATATTTGGTTCTGCAGAGATCATTGTACACGGATTAGGGATGGTTTGTTGATTGATGTTTTTTGTCGATACATCGATATAAGTATCGATGTTTAAGTTTTATATTTTTTTTAAGAATAAAATAATACGAAGCTACGATCTCACTCTATTCTCACACTCCCTCTATAGCTGCATGTTGTATGTGATATTATACATGTGTGTATTGTGTACTTCCAATCGCAGTACCATTACAATAATATACGTTTTTGGTTTTCATGCAGGTGCCCAGCATTTTCATCTAAGTGAAAAGTTAAACACCAGATATTCAGCAATTGCGTTTCAACGAGCATGTCCATACAGAGATAACTTTAACGATGTGTAATTACGTTTTTCGTTGATTTGGTGGCTGCATTTTATCGTTGTTGTATAGTTATTATTATTACAACGATATTAAATGCAGTGCGCGAGCGCATATAAGAGTCTAGTGATTTTTTTTTTTTTGTGCACAGCTTGATGCGGCTGTTCGAGGGTGGCATTTTGTCGAAAATCACTGAGGAAGAATACCAGAAACTGAACGACAAGTTAATGGGGTCGGAAAAATATGACGCGACGTCCGTGGTGGTTGAACCGGTGCTCGAAGGGTCGGAACCCCGGCAGGACGACGACGACAAACAGCTGACCATAGCCATGTCCATGAAAACGTTGCAGGGAGCGTTCTACGTGCTGGCGATCGGCTCGATGTTGGCAGGTACGTGCGTACATCACATACTGTTTATCACACAAGGTATCTCTGGGTTAGGTTAGATTAGTATTAGTTCGTTTGGTTAAGCCGAGTCATTTGGAAGCAGACGAAACTACGTTTTTTGTTTGATTTTTTCTTTTTATTTTTGACTTAGGGTTATTGCTTTTGATAGAGATCAGGTCGTACGGGAAGTTGAAAAACGACGAACACATCAAAAACGAACGCCTCATAGCTCCGTTCGTCTACAAACGTAAACTACCCAGGAAATTTCAAAGTGGATTGTACAACATAGTAGAATGATAATTTTTTCTTAGCTATCGTACATAATATGTAGTTTTAGTATATTAAATTATTGAACGATAAATTATTGTATATGCACAGTGATGTAATAATATTTCTTTTTAATTCAAATAAATACAATCATAATCGATTGTTGGGAAATGAACAACTTTAATTTCGTCAGTTGATTTTATAGTATAAATTAAATTCAATAATCTACTGCTAAAGCCAAACCCACGGGTCTAGAAGAATTCGAATTTTCAAAATACGTTTTCTTCAAAAATATTTCCGGTTAATTAGTCTTGACGAACTGCGGTATTGCGCCGTGGTGATCTTGCAGAATTCTTGCGTTTCGAGGAGATATTAACGGGGATTCAAAATAATTATTGATTTATGTGATGTTGCGAAAGTTTAAGAAGAAAATTAAAAATTGCTCTAAAAAAAATGGTGTACATTGTTTTAAACGCGGTACTAATGAATATTCATTTGATAAATGCTCGGCGTCTCATAGTTCAACATTTTTGAGTTTATATTATATGTTTCTATACTTCGAGGTTTAGCATGTACCTACTATAGTAATACGATAATAAAATAAAACAAAGTCTAAGTTATTCGCGAACTACTCTGGACGAATCTTAATATTTTGATAATACGACAACCCATCCAAAATTAATGAATGAATGTTATAATTGATCATATTACATCGAACTAATAATGTTTCTGTATATTACATTATGTAGTTGATTAGTTGAATATTACTTTGATTCGTCCCATTAAGTTTCAGGACATTTTCACTATAACGTACGTTTATATTTAAACACGTGTTTAAATGTTTGACAGACAAGTAGACACGCATAAATAGGTGCATATATTATAATTATTCAACTACACGCAACAAATATTATTTAAAATAAGTACCAATATTAATTATTAATCTCTGTAAATCTAAATGAATTGGAAAACTAAGTTTTACACAGGTTTATATACATATATAGTGCATAATTTACAATGTATTCAAGTCCAGTATAATTTACAACTACGCTTATTAGACCGAGTAGTTTCCTCTACACATTTAAATGATGCGTTTAAAATTATCGAAGATTTAAATTTAAGACTGTACGTATTGCGCCCTTGCTTAATGCTAAAACCATCCATTTCTTATGTGGTTATGCGGCTTAAGCTTTGTTGAAGTACACCGTTTTTAGAATAACAAGAATCTTGGGGTTTTTATTGAACATGGTGACATTCAATAAAAATATCATTATATGTAATATGTATACGCCCGATTGATCCTTGGACGAAAGCCAATGATCCAGTAGTAACGGATGAGAGGGGTGATGAAAGTCTAACAGGCTTAAATTATATAGGGGGATGGCAAGAATTGTGGTGACGCGATGACAAAGTTTGAGTTTTTTCCGATACGTACGACCGATAATGAATATATGTGCTTGGTGAAGGGTTGTTAAAGTATCTCCAGTGACGACGACTTTTATAAACTTATGTACCCAGTCTGTTTTTTAAAATGTGTACGAAAATATTATTACTTGTGAAGTGCGCTAAATAAAATAAAATAAAGGTATCTCGCAATCGAACTTTAATGATCAAGAAATCATTCTAAATGAATAATATGAATATCCGGAATGAGTACTAAAATAACATAATAGGTTTATATTATTATTTATTAGATAAGTTTATTACTGTCTAAAATGAAACAATGAAAATTAATGATATTTAATGATCTTTTTTCAATTCATTAGCCTTAACATTTTTCCAACCGCTGAAAAGATGGAAGTATAGTTCCACTTGATCAAAACGTCAACCTATACTTTGTTCTTATATGATACAATCTAACATCCATGGATCGATACAGCTACACGAGTTTTTTCGTCAATTTTCTATCGAATTTTCTCAGTGTTGAAACCATGTTTATTACCCAAATTGACATTCAAAAAGTTTAGCCCATTACTTAATACGATCAATTATTATTACCATCATCAAACTTGTACGTACAATTTTTAATGTTAACGCTCGTCTTATCTCTTTAATATTTAGTCTGTGTTTAATAATATTTCTCATTTTCATTTATCATCGTCTTTTCGGTTTTGCGATTTCTTGATCTGGAACACAACACCACGACAACCTCGGGTTATACGTGGTCCGTCAAAAAACACGCCTGCGTTACAAAATATGCTGTCGACAAATCCTAGCTGTGAATTCCCTAGATATAGTCGTCGGACGGCACACTCGTTTTCTTCGTTAAGGTTAGGTGATACCCTCCCCCAAGCTGACTTATGCCCTAGAACAGGGGTGGGCAACTAGCGGCCTGAGAACCTTTTTTATCTAACCCCTGTAATATTTTCAAATTACATCATGAAATTTTAAATTTTATCATCTATGAGTATAGATAGAATCTTATCGGTATAATAATTTTTATCTGGTATTAAATATTGTTAAATGTCTAAATGTCATATACGTATAGCTTTCAAACATAGCTGTCTGTACCGAACTATTTATTTATTATTTCGGTGTATATAAATGCTAGTTAAAATTCATAGTTTGAATGAACTTTTTTTTTCCTATATTTTGGCCCGCTGGATTTTAATTTTATAAAAATTGGCCTTATAATAACTTTGATTTGCCCATCCCTGCCCTAGACGACGAAATATTAATTGGTCATCTGATACGTGCGGACTTTGACTTCAACCTGACACCGCTAACTGGTTTAGCAAACATTCTACTAACCCAACAATATAGGAGGCCATAGAATCGACGATACGTTATTAACGTTGCGTTTCCAGTCGTATTTTTGAAAACAAAAACATTAAAATTAAATCGGTTAAAATGTATACTATCGTATTTTGCAATCGACAAAAATAACAAAACATGTTATTTTTATCGAAACATATTATGTATAACGAGCAAATTACTAGTTACGTGTGTGACGGACAGAAACAAAAAACCACATAAACTGTTTTCAATGTATACTCCGAGTAAATTTGATATAAAGATAATTTTGTCATAGATAAATATTATCGGTAAAAACTTTAAAAGAATTGAAAACACTTATTGCGTAGTAAATATCGTTCATTATTTATTCACGTAATATCGTCGTTGAACGTATATTTGTACGTCAGTTACAATTGTAATAATAATTGTCATTATAATTATTATAGCCATGGGATCTATAAAACATTGTTTCAACGCATTATTTTATCGTACATTTTTTATCAGCTACGCTTTTATATTTTAATTTTAATTTTATTCAACTTCTCTACAGTAAAAAGTTTTCAAAACTTTAACTAATTGTTAAAAGCTTTTCATGCGATCCTATTATATCCGACTAATCCGATTACGTGACATTTGTTTTTAAAATATTGAACGACTAAATATTGTTGGACTTGTTAGATATACAGCAGTTTGCGTAGACCATTTTGAGTGGCCATACTTTTAGTCTGAAAACAATAATAATAAACCTATCATCATTCACCGTTAAAAAAAAATCGTTCTTCGAGGAGCTCGATTTATATAAGAAACCATACGGTTTTAATACTATGTTTATAAAAATTAATTTAGTTCTTCAAGACGTTAAAAATAATAAAAATATTATTAAATTTATGGCTTTCTGTATTGGAAATGCAGTTAACATAAAGTGCTTTATAAAGAAATCTAATGATAAAAATTATTGAAAAAAATGTTCAAATAATGATATTTTCTATAAATTGTATTGTGATTCATAAATGTATAATGATAATACAAACTGGATGACAACCTTAAATTGATGTATCAAGTTTTTATAAAATCATAATTGCACACATTATGTAATAAAATCCACTAACGTAAGTGAAAACTATATATTACTTAGTCATTTAAACTTTAAACGTTTACAAAAAAATTTAGTTATTAATTTTTTAATTTATGATTGTGTATGTATAATAGAATATGAAAGTGCAAGTTTATAATATTAACAATTTAAAAGTCAGTGTATTAAACATAAAATAAAAACTGTATATTTTCGAAGTAGTTTTAAATAGAAAAAATAAAAAGTGTCAATAATTTTTCAAAACTGTACTGAATTAGATGAAAAAATAGTAAAAAATTAAGTTTCAGACATTTAGAGTTTTATATTTTCAGAATTATAACAAAATCGATTTCATTATGTGCCGTCGGTAGTAATTGTTTTCCGTAATTTTAAATCATTGGAAAAAAAAAATTTTTAAAAATAACTTCACTCTGACCTTTCATAACCATCTGTTTCTAATTTCCAATTGATTAATAAGGTCACATGCACCTAAGTTTTGAAACACACCTTTTATACTTCAAAAAATGGATACAAATATATATATACCTAACCCCATTACAATTAAGTCAATACTTTTATCGCTCAGTGGTTTGAAGTCTAAAAAAAATAATTAATGACTTTGCAACCACAAAAGAAAGAAAAACAATTTTTTTAAAGTAATTACATTTTTTTCTATAGGTACGTTAAGTGAAATAACATTTTTCACTAATTATTGCCTATATCACTCTAAATAATAATTCAACATTCAAATAATATAAAATAAAATAAAAATTAGTAAATGGTTAACACTCATGTATTAATAAATAAATAGATAAACAAATAATTTATACATAGAAATGAATAAATAAATGCTTTTCTTGGAGTATTATTAATTCGAAACCAGTCGTACCTTAGAAATATAATAATACTCTAGGCTAATCATTTATTTATTTCTATATAAACTATTTGTTCATTTATTTAAATATTAAAACAAAATTTTTAAATATGTTCTTATTGAAAACTTTTATTGTTTTTATTTTGTCATTATTACAATATAATATTAATTTTGTTAAATCTGAACCTAAATTACATTAAAGGTTAAAAATAATATTTATTAACCTTTTAACTTAATTATAAAAAAAACTCTAATAAACTTAATAACTTAATCTTGAAATTGTAATCGATTTTCATGATCAAGTTAATTTGAAAAACATTTAATTTAGTAAAAATTAAAAATCATTTGATAAATTATATTTTGATCTAATTTGAAGTAAAAGAAGCGTATAATAATAAATAATAAATAATGAGACTGG